TCTCTCTCTCTCTCTCTCTCTCTCTCTCTCTCTCACACACACACACACACACACACACACACACGAAAAAATACAAAAAAAGATTCCATGGCAAAATGGAGGATTCGAACCTGTGTCTCTGCGATCCCATCCTAGTCCCGTTACTGCAGCCCCTATACTGCAATGGCTCCCTGCCGTTCCCTTTTGCAGTGATGGTGTCTGACCAAAAACCTCCTCTCAAAATATTCCCTTCAATCTGTTGGTGAGCTTGGTTATTCAGCCCTGGCGACGAGCCGTGCCAAATTTGTTTCTGCAGCTTTTTAATCCCTCCCTCCCTCCCTCTCGCTCAGTTGTTCGTGGTAGATGTCCAGACTGGCCAGATCACCAAGATCCCCATTCTGAAGGACCGGGAACCCGACATGGTGAACCAGCAGGGATGCGGGATCCACGCCATCGAACTGAACCCTTCGAGGACCCTCCTGGCTACCGGAGGCGACAACCCAAACAGCCTTGCGATTTATCGGCTGCCCACGCTCGATCCGGTCTGCGTGGGAGACGTAAGTTAGCCTGGCGTGCGAAAGGGGTGGTCTTCGGGCCTTGCTCGGCACTGGGTGTGTCGCCGTCCTTATGTCCCTCTGGGAACGTTGGTATTTCCATGCAGAGCCGGACAGCGGCTGAAGGCAGACTGAGTTGCTTCCCCGTTTGCGATCATGTCACATGAGAACTCGTCAGATCTCGTCAGATCTTGGCTACAAAGCAGGGTCGGCCCTGGTGAGGACTTGGACGGGAGGCCACCAAGGGAGTCTAGGCAGGCCATGGCCAACCACCCCTGTTAGTCTCTTGCCTTGGATGTGACTTGAAGGCAACTTTCATCACCAGCAGTGCCCGACCTGGATGAACGAGGCTACCAGCCAGTTTGGTGTCGTGGTTAAGAGCGTGGACTCTAATCTGGGAGAACCAGGTTTGATCCCCCACTCCTCCACTTGCAGCTGCTGGTGTGACTTTGAGTCAGTCACACGTTCTCTCAGGAGCAGTCCTTGAAAGAGCTCTCTGAGCCCCGCCTACCTCACAGGGTGTCTGTGGTGGGGAGTGGAAGGGAAAGGAGATTGTAAGCTGCTCTGAGATTCCTTCGGGTAGTGAAGAGTGGGGTATAAATCCAGTCTCCTCCTCCTCCTCCTCCTCTTATACTGGACTCGAATCTCACCCTTTCGCTGCAGACCAACATGGCTACCCCCTCTGAAACTCAGAGGACTAGTGGTGGCAGTGAATTCCATGTGTTAATCACACAGAGCCAGTTTGGTGTAGTGGTTAAGTGCGCGGACTGTAATCTGGGAGAACCGGGTTTGATTCCCCACTCCTCCGCTTTCAGCTGTTGGATGACCTTAGGCAAGCCATAGTTCTTTCAGAGCTGTTCTTGAAAAAACAGCAGTTTCTGTCAGGGCTCTCTCAGCCCCACCTACCTCACAGGGTGTCCATTGTGGGGAGGGGAAGGGAAAGGAAAGGAGTTTGTAAACCGCTCTGAGACTCCCTTG